GTGGAAGAATTCTAGTTTCTCCACCAACACTTGTAGTTATTGGACTTTTTCCCCTTAATTTATTACTTTTAATTGAAGTATAATTACAATATTGTGTTGATATCTGCCATCCATCCACATGAATCAGCCATAGGTATACATGGACTTTTTTTATTCTGGTCATCATAGTGGATGTGAAGTTGTTACTTATCATCGTTTTGATTTGCGTTTAATGATGTTGAATAGCTTTCCTAGTGCTGATGGCCATTTGTATGTCTTCTTTGGAGAAATGTCTATTCAGATCCTTTATTCATTTTTTAAAAGTAGATATTTTCTGTCTTTGAAGAGTTTTAAGAATTCTTCATTTATTCTGGATACAACCTTTTTGTCAGGTATATGATTGGCAGATATTTTCTCCCACTTGTACATTGTCATTTCACTTTCTTGATATTGTCCTTTGAAGCATGAAAGTTTTAAAATTTCAATGATGTTCAGTCTGTGTTCCTCTTTTTTTCTTTTATTGCTTATGCTTCTGATATCATATTTAAGAAATCATTGCCTAATCTGAGGTTGTGAATGCTTTAGCTCAGAGTTCCCCAACCCCTGGACTTGTCCTCAGCCATGGGCTGTGAAACCAGGCTCAGAGCAGGAGATGAGTGGCTCCCTATTGCTCCTCTTTGCCCACATTACTGCCTGAATCTTCTCTCCCATTGCTCTCATTACCACCTAAACCATGCCTACCCCTTTCCCACTTGTGGAAAAATTGTCTTCCATGAAACCAGTCCCTGGTGCCAAAAAGGTTGAGACTGCTAGTTTAGCTTTTATGTTTAGGTCTTTGATCCATTTTAGGTTAATTATTGTGTATAATATGAAGAAAGGGTCAGAAATAATTTTTTTTTGCATGTGGACATCCAGTTGTTTCAGCATCGTTTGTTGGATACTCTAAATTCTATTCCATTGATCTGTGTATTTATTCTTATCCTAGTACCATATTGTTTTTATTACTGTAGCTTTATAAGTTTTGAAATTGGGAAGTCTGAGTTCTTCAACATGGCTTTTCTTTTTCAGTATTGTTTTGGCTATTCTAGATTTCCTGCTTTTCCATATGAATTTTAAGATCAACTTGTCAGTTTCTCCAAAGAGGTCAGCTGGGATTTTAATAGAGAATAAGTTGAATCTGTGGATCAATTGGGGAACTATTGCCGTCTTAACAGTATTGTCTTATCCATGCTACTGCTGCTGCTGCTGAGTCGCTTCAGTCGTGTCCGACTCTGCGACCCCATAGACAGCAGCCCACGAGGCTCCTCTGTCCACGGGATTCTCTAGGCAAGAATACTGGAGTGGGTTGCCATTTCCTTTTCCATGTCTTATCCATAAACATGGATATCTTTCCATTTATTTAGGTCTTCTTTATTTTGTTTAAACAATATTTATAGTTTTCAGAGTATAGCTTTTACACTTTTTTTTTTTTGCTAAATTTATTCTTTAGCATTTTTTGATGCTATTATAAATGGGAATTTTTAAAATTGAATTTTGTGCATCACTAATGCATACAATATAATTAATTCATTTTTGTACAATGATCTTGTAGCCTTCAGCGTTCCCAAATTCATTTATTAGTTCTAACAGTTTTTTAAATTGTCCTTAAGATTTTGCATATATAAGATCATGCCACTTGCAAATAGAGATAGTTTGTACACCTTCCCTTCCAGTCTAGGTGCTTTTTATTTCATTTCCTGCCTTGTTATACTTTCTAGTACAATGTTAAATAGAAGTGGTGAGGGGACATTTTTATCTTGTACCTGATCTGAGAGGAAAGCATTCACTTTTTGGGGCTTCCTGGATGGCACAGTGGTAGAGTCCACCTGCAATGCAAGAGACACAGGAGATGTGGGTTCGATCCCTGGGACAGGAAGATCCCCTGGAGGCGGAAATGGCAACCCACCCCCTGAAAAAATCCCACGGACAGAGGAGCCTTACAGGTTATAGACCAAAGGGTCGCATATAGTTGAACATGACTGAGCACACACTCACACATTCAATCTTTGGCCATTATAATGATGCTGATGTTAGCTGTGGGTTTTCTGTAGATGCTATTTATCAGTTCAGGAAGTTCCCTCTACTGCAAGTTTGTTGAATGTTTTCATCATAAAAATGTTGATTTTGTCAAATACTTTCCTACATCTATTAAGATGATAGTGTGGTTTTTGTCTGTTTGCCATTGATATGATGTATTATGTTGATTGATTTTCATGTAGTTAACCAACCTTGCATTGTTGGAATTGTGGGTTGTGGGTTGTGGTCTGTGCTGTCTTTTTTTTGGTGAATTTGATTTGCTAGTGTTTTGTTGAAGATTCTTGTGTGTGTGTGTGTTTGCAGAAACTACTGGTTTCTAGTTTCCTGTGATGTCTTTTGTCTGATTTGGGGATCAGAGTAATACTTACACAATAAATTGGGAAGTATTCCTTCATCTTCTGTTTTTTGGAAGAGTTTGTAAGGAATTGATATTTATTGTTCTTTAAATATTTAGTAGGATTTACCAGTGAAGCCATCTGGGCCTAGGCTTTTTTTTGTTGTTGAAAGTTTTAAAAGCATTAATTTAATCTGCTTACTTGCTGTAAATCTGTTTAGACTTTTTTTTGACTCAGTTTTGCTAGATTGTTTAGGAGTTTGCATATATCATCGTAGTTACCTAATTTGTTGGCTTATATTTAGTTGTTCATAGTAATTTCTTATAATCTCTATTTTCCCTAAAGTCAGTAATAGTGTGTCACTTTCATTGCTGATTTTGGTAATAATGAGCCCTTTCTCTTTATTCTTGGTCACTTTAGTTAAAGGTTGTGAATTTTACTGATATTTTCAAAGAACCAACTTTAGTTTATTGTTTTATCCTCCTTTTTTCTGTTTTAAAGGTACCTTTTCTGTTTTAAAGTTACTTTTAAAAGTATCTTTTAAAGGTACTAAAAGTTAGAAAAGTTATGTTTAATATTTCTCCACATGTTTATCATTTTCAGTGATCTTTATCATACAAATATCTAAGTTTCCATGTGGTATCATATTTGTACTTAAATAACTTTTTATTGTAGTTCAGATCTGCTAGCAGTGAATTCTCTTAGTTTTGGTTGTCTGAAAAAGTCTGTTTTGCCTTCATTTTTGAAAGATATTTTACACAATATAGAATTTTAGTTGACACATTTTTTGTTTCTCAATACTTTAAAGATATTACTTCATTGCATTCTGCCTTGAGTAGTTTCTGATGCAAAATATGCTATTAATCTTTAGCTTTGCTTTTATGTATCCAGTTTTTCTTTCTTTTTTTTTTTTTTTTACTGTTTTCAGAATTTTCTCTTTCTGTTTGGTGTTCAGCAATGTGTGAGTTATATAGGGTTTTGCCTTGCTAGGATCTCATTAAGCTTCTTGGATATGGAATTTTTGTTGTTGTTGTTGTTGGTTTGTTTGTTTATTCCATTAATTTTGGAAAACTCTAATCATTTTCTCTTTAAATACTTTTTCTACCTTATTCTTCCCTCTCCATAACTGAGAATCCAAATACATGTATTTTAGTCTGTCTGATCCTTTGACAGATTTTGAATTTTCTCTTCTTTTTTTTCCATTCCTTTTCTTCTTTGTGTTTTACTCTGGATTATGTGGTTTGATCTCACTGATTCTTTTTCCCTGTGTCCTGTCTGCTCAGAAGTCCGTGTATATTATTTTTAATCTTCAATATTATGATACTTAAATTTTTTTTATCATTTCCATTTGATTATTTTCTAGTTTCTATTTCTGATCATAAATTTTCCCCAGCTCTGTAACATCCTTTAACATATTGATCACATTTTTTAGTTCCTATTACAATATAATCTCTGGGACTTTTCAGATTTTGCTTCTTTTGACTGTTTTAGCTTTTGACAATAGGTCTTATTATTTTTTTTTCCCTTGATCTTGTTAATATGCCTTATAAATATTTATTGAGTGCTATATGTTATATTTAGAAGAACAATAGAGACTGAGGTTAGTAGTATTTATGACCAGAGGTGTGCACATCTTTTTTTTTCCTTTTTTTGGTCAGGCCATTAGTGTGGGGGTTTTGAACCTATCTGGTCAATAGTTGAGCTGGGCTATTGTGTTTTGGTATTACTAGTTACCATTCTCAGGTTTCAGCAAGCCCTGCATACCTGCGCCATAAGGGGTCTCTGTTTTCTTTCTTGGCTCTCAGAGGTAGATTGCTGTTGTCTTTTGCTTTAGGCAAGGCTTTGGTTGGAGATGAGCTTCCCTGGTAGCTCAGATGGTAAAGCGTCTGTCTACAATGCTGGAGACCCGGGTTCAATCCCTGGGCTGGGAAGATCTCCTGGAGAAGGAAATGGCAACCCACTCCAGTATTCTTGCCTGGAGAATCCCACAGACGGAGGAGCCTGGTAGGCTACAGTCCATGGGGTTGCAAAGAGTCAGACGCGACTGACTTCACTTCACTTTGGTTGGAGAAGTTGGGGGGATGGGTATATGTTTCTCCTTTTGCAGCCTCAGTGTTGGGCAGGCCCCTTACCCCTGAGAATAGTAGTGAGTGTTGTTAATGTTCCTGCCCCATTTCTTAGCCCTCTTGCCAGAGTTGTATCAAAAAAAGAAGAAAGGGCCTTGCTCCTATTCTAACTGCAGACCTTTGCTTTGTATCAGTGTAAGGTCTTGAGCCCAAGCTGGCTTCAGCCTTGCCCCCAGTAACAAATGGATGTTTTTTCTGTTTCTCTTTCAGTGACCTTTCAGTCGACCTTTGCTAGTCACCAGAGGGTGGGCATATTCCTGCCTTTCTTTCAGTAGCAGCTGGGCTTTTCCTTGGGTAGGGGGTGTGAGGGTGTCTTCTTAGACACTTAAAAAAATTATCTTAGATATTTTAGAATAAATCATATTTCAGTGTTGTCATTTTATAAGATTAGTTCCTGATAAGCAGAGGCTGAATCTTAGATTTTTAGAGGATGACTGCTATTTGATTATTATTGTAATATGCCAATGTGTTTGTTCTTTTCCAGCTTAGGTTTGATTTCCGACTCTTTTCACATGTTTTTCGATAGCACTGCCATTTTGGCTGGATTGGCAGCATCTGTTATTTCAAAATGGAGAGATAATGATGCTTTCTCTTATGGGTAAGACTTTTTAAAAACATTTTTATTGAAGTAAAAGAAATACAGAAAATAATACATAAATCTCAAGCTCACTTAATTTTCACAGTTGAACACTCTTATGTAATTTGAACCCTTGAAACCCCCTCAGGTCTCCTTCTAGTTCTTTAACACTCACCTTCCACTTTCCTGACTTGGGCTAGTTTTGCCTGTTTTTGGACAGTGTATAATTAAAATCTATGATACGTAAATTTTTTGCGTCTAAGTTCTTTTGCATCTTGATTTTACCAGAGAATTTCAGGTGAGATTGTTACTAGTTAGGGGACTTTCCCAGCTCTTAACCTTTTCTTTCTTTCTTTTTTTTTTTTTTTTTTTGAGAGAAGAGGAGGAAAAAGAAAAAGTTTCAGAATATGATCATGCTTCTTTATTTTTCATTTTTGGTTGATATTTTGTTTACTTATTGTCTTCAGCTCTGCCTTTATGTAAAATACTTTTCTTACTTTTGCTGAATTCAGACGATTAATCAAATATTAGGAAGGTGTTTTTATGCTGAAGGGACTTGCTCTGAACATCTGGTCTCACTTCTGAGCCTAGTAACCTTGGAGTCAGAGCTTTCTTTATGCTCTGACTGGGGGGAACAATGGGGTTTCCATTATTTGATTTACTCTGCCTGAGTGTTTTCTTTCTTTCTTTTTTTTTTTTGAGTCCAGAATATTTTACAATGTAATTATATTTATGTATTGGCAGCACTCGGAACATCTGCTTGTCTCTCTTCCACCTACTTTGTTGTTCCTACTCCCCCCCACCTGCTTGTTTGATCAGTTGCCCTAGGTCTTTTCCCCTCTTTTTTTTGAGTGCAGTCTCACATTCTTGCCTTTCTTTGCTATCTTTCCTGTTTTCATTCCATCTCTCATTCTTGTCCCCATCCTCCTCATTCTCTCCCCTTTATTTCTCCTAAACTCCCTTCTCTCCTTTTCTGTTCTTTCTAGTTAACTTGGGTCTGTGTTCAGGTTTTTTCTCTTCCTCTCCCTTCTACTCTCACTCTTTCTCCTTCCCTCACATCTTTTCTCTTATTTTTTCCTTTCTTCTACACTGTCCCTCTGTACTATACCACTGCACCCCTCAGGTGCGTTCTTTCTTTCCCATCCCTTAACCGCTTCAGCTGTAGGTTTTTCTCCCTCGGGCTCTCTTTCCTTCTTTCCCAGGTCCCTCTTCCTGAGAACTTCCTTTCTTGTGCAGCTTCTCATTCTCTCCCTCTCCCATGCACATCCACCTTCTTACATGAACTGTCTCTTGCGTCTCTTCTACACGCAGTCCTCCCCCGCTTCCTCTTTCTTTCTGCTTTGCTTTTGTTCTTGAGTAAGCACATACTGCTTGCATGAGCCCTTGTTCTCTTCAAATGTTTATTGAGGATCCACTATGATTTGAATACTGTGTTACTTCTAATGATATCAAAATGAATAAGGTATGACTTCCGCCTCAGAGGAACTTGTAGTCTGATGGGGAAACAGTTCTGTAAAAATACTGTAATAACTAAACATTGTGTGACAAGTGCTAAAAGAGAGATATGTGAAATTCTGTGACAGAACTTTCTGATCTGTGGTGTAATCCAGGTGATGTGGTTACTTATAAAGTTATAAACAGTGAGACAAAAAACAAATTATATTGTTTTTATAGTATAGAGCAAGAGATCCTGTATACAAATCCAAACAGCTTGAAAACTCAGAAAAGAACCTATTTCATGGCACTAGATAATCAAAGATTTTAAAGTGTATTTTTAATTACTAAAGAAAGGTTGTGTGTGAAATTATAATTTTGTGTTGGAAAATTAGTAATTCATATTTTATATAAAAAATCAAATTAGAATATCTTATTAAGCAACATTTCTGGATAGACAGTAACTAAAAATTCTTAATTCTTAGGGTATCCTGTTTTCTATTTAGAATGCATAATCTCCTGGTATAAGATGGTTTTTAGAAATGGCTTTGAATACCTTCAGTACCATAGCAGGTTTTACTAATTCCACTTTAACTAAAATATATGAGAGTAATTCTTGTTACAAGAAAGTAATTACAAGAAAGTAATTCTTGTCACCTTTTAATTTGTTTATCCTGTCTTCTTCTTCTTTGCTCTTTTTTTCTTCTGAGAAGGGAAAAATTAGTGAATAAAAGCTGATGTAACATTTGAAACTGTTAGTAATTGCTATAGTAGTAAGTAGCAACAGTAGAAATATACTGCTGTTTTGCCAATGTATCAAAAAGTCACTGAACAGGCTAAGCCAGTGATGAGTCCCCAAATCTCCAATTCAGTATGATCACAGTAGCAGACTGAGTCCAATAGAAGAAACAATAGGAGGAATCTCAGAGGCAGCAAAAGCTTTTCAGTACTTTTTATGTGATGTCACCCTTGTGTCTTGTCACACTCTAAAGCCAGAATAAAAGTAATACATATCTGATAGATAGGTGGATGCATATGTACATGCTAATATACATATGTACATATACTTGTATATTTTTTGCTTTGACTAAGGAATACAGGTGTGATCATTCTTAAATAGGTAATAGTACATTAATGGATCATACATTTTAATTCCCAGACAGTCTGTTCAAGTAAACAGTCATTTGAAAAAGCAAGTGTGTCTGGACTTTACAAGGTTTTCATTTTAATCCAGCAGTCAAGTTTACCAAATATATTAAACCTAAATAAATCACTTTAGCCCAACTATTTATCAGAATTTATGGAACACCTACTAAGCATTAGGGACAAAGAGATACCTGAAAACCGGTCTTTCCTTTGATCTTGAAATCTAGTGGAATTCAAGGACAAAAGGCTTTCAATCATGCATTAGCTATGAGATTAGAAGAGTGGGTTAAAAGAAAGTGCTTTTTTATTTTGGAGAAGTAACCCTGCTGATACAGATAAATTCCTAAATGTGGATTGTGGAGAGCAGGCAGTAAATTCTTTGAATTTAATAAGAAAAAAAGTATATGCTTTGACAAATAATATATTAATTCACTTATGTGTATTAGAAGGTAGACATATGCTTTATTTCTAAGTATAGATATATATATATATATATATACTACTTTGAAATGTGCTTTACAGGGCAAACTCTAGCATAACTGTATGGGATATATTTTAAAGAGTTTGTTCTATTTACTTTAAAAATACTTTTGCAGTAAAAATTGTGTTATCTAGAAATTAACATAGAAAGCTTGAAAAAATCATACTTTTGATGCTCCTATTACATTGTTTAAGGGCCAGAGTGATTAACTGCTGTTAGCACCCTTTGAATAATGTCTGAACATGTTAAACTGCAAAGTTAAAGTTGTTTCTAATAACTTTAACTAAGCCAAATATAGCTCATGAAAAAATAAAATCTTTCCCCAATGCTTCACACAGGTAGGAAGCAGAAAGTTTCAGAAGTCCATGGAACAAAAGACAGGTATTTTAAAAACAGTTTAATTCAAATTATGTGAAACTAGAATTGATTCTAAAATTTAGGATATCGAAGATTTTTTCTTAAATTTATTCATCTTTAGAAGAAGAGTGATAGAAATATAAATCTCAAGTTGTCTCTGGGATAATTCAAAACTAATTTTATTTTTCCTTCAGATCAAAGCTCTGCTTGCCAGAGATTTGAAAGCTGAAAGATACAAAGCAAAAAGCATAAGGAGTTCTTAGAAAAGAAGGAATTAATAAGTTACAAATGCCCTTTTTCAAGCTCTCTTCCTCAACTTTTTATCTTTGTATCCTTCCTTCTTTGCCCACTTATCTGGTCCTATTCTTTCTTCTCCAGTTGCAGCTTGAGATTTACATTTCTCTGAAACGTCTCTCTAAAACTGCTTACTCTATAAAGGTCTTTTGGTTGGGTTGTAGATATCTCTGTATTTTATGGCATTCTTCTTTAAACATAACTCATAGTAATTAAATTTATTTTCTCAATTTTATGAAATGTACAATAAAAATACTATACTATAAACACTGGGACTTTGTTTGCTACATATAACTGTGTAGTATGGCTTAGTACCTCTGAATATATGTAAATTTATGATTTGGTTTTCTTTTAAAGAAATAACTTAATTCAGTTGTTTACTTTGCTCTTCTCTAGGTATGTTAGAGCGGAGGTTCTGGCTGGCTTTGTCAATGGCCTGTTTTTGATCTTCACTGCTTTTTTTATTTTCTCAGAAGGAGTTGAGGTATAGTAGATAATAACTAGAGCCAGTTAATTACCTTTCTGTAATGAAAATGTTTACTAACTAAAGATACATGTAATAGAGTTATTTTTTCACACTATCATTGAGTATTTACTGAGGCCAGTCTTGGGTTGCATAAAGTATTATGTGTATACAAGAGGAACTTATAAAATAATTGAAAAGTTATATGTGAAACTACTTGAAATTGAAAACAAATAGTAGTGCTTTGTAAGCTGTGAATGATGTTTTGACACTGAAAAGTAAACACACAACAATCCTGGTGGTGAGTTCTGTTGGAAGTAGTTCTTAACATACAATCTGAGAATTTTGCCAATGAATCTTCAGTATTTCAATGTTTTAAGACCAGTAAAAATTTAAAAGTTAATCAGCTTAAAATTTACAGTATTTTAAGATTCCAAAGAAGGATGGTTTTAGTCCAAATATTCATGCCTTTAAGTGTACTTACTTAAAAATAATAATTGTTACCTTTTCTGAAATATGTGAGCAATGGTTTTATTTGTGTTAACTGTTTTGGCAGACAATTTTGGAGTGGTTTTAATTCTGAAAATAAAAAATTTTTTTAAATTGCTTTTTATTTTTATCAATTGATTAGTCAGAAAATATATCAATACAGTTTGTTTGTATTCTGTGTTTTCTAGAGAGCATTAGCCCCTCCAGATGTACATCATGAGAGACTGCTTCTTGTTTCAATTCTTGGGTTTGTGGTAAACCTAGTAGGAATATTTGTTTTCAAGCATGGAGGTCATGGACATTCTCATGGCTCTGGTATGATGGTTAGAACCCTTTGTTTCTTCATTTCTGGTTTCTGTCATAATTATTCATTTTTGAAAATTGATGATTTTTTAAAGTCTAACTCTATTGATTTTTAATAACAAGAACAATATGTTAATTGACTCATGTTAATGTCCTCCTGAACCTTCCCCTTTTGTGACTTCTCAGAGTTATAGTATCAGTTTGGTGTGGCTACTTCAAGACCTCTGTAGCTCATCTGTTTAGTATGATAACATTTATATAAAGCTAATACCAAAACAACAACACAAATTTAGATATTAAAAAATCATAATGTGTGGGGGTATGAAATTTATAATACAATCTGTCTTTGCGATCCTTCCACCTGGTGTCCATCAGTGTATCTTCTCTTGTTCACAGACACATAAAACTGCATGGTGTGGGTTACTGTGGTTTATTTAAACAGTCTTCTATGGATTGTCATGTTTCCATATGAAGCATATCTTTATGAACACATGTAAACATTTCTCCAGAGCTGTGCTGTCCTATATGGTAGTTGTTAGTCAGATGTGACTATTTAAGTTTAAATTATGGTTAATGAAATTTAATAAAATTAAGAATTCAGTTAATGACATTTCAAGTGCTCTTTACTGGATAGCAAATATAGACAATTTCCATCATCATAGAAAGTTCTCTGAGTTGAAAGTTTCTCAAATATGAATAGAATTGCTGGAACACAGGATATATAATATTTAGTTTCAATGGACATTAGCAGCTTGCCCTCCAAATAACTCATTTATATTTACCCCAGCATAAAATGTAAGTACAAGGATTCTTTCACCCATATCAGAACTTACTATTATGGGTTTAAAACCATTTTGCTGATATTTTTATAAAAATGATATGTCATTTTATTTGTTATTTTTTGGACTAGTGTGAAGTTGAAAATCTTTCTGTATGTTTTTGCCATCATTCAGATTTTTTCCTCTTCTGGAATTGTCCCCTCCCCTCCTTAACACCTCATTTTTCTATTGTCTTACTATTAATCCATTTACAAGTTTTTGTTTATGTATTTTTTACGCTAATTCTTTGTCTTATGTGTTGCAGATATCTCTTCCTAGTCTGTGGCTTGTCTGTTTAAACTTTTACTTAGGGGTTTTTAATTTGGATATAGTCTAGTTTCTTTCTTTTTTTGGTCTTATATACATTGTGGTATGTTTTCTGCTTTTTTTTTTTTTTAAGGAATTCCTATTCCTGAGTCATAAAAATATTCTTATTATTTAATACCATGAAAATTTTGGTTTTTGTCCCAACTGCGTTGGTCCTTCATTTATATATATTTTTGTGGTGAGGAGTTAGGACTTTTTTTCTCTGTGAATAAGCAGTTTTCCAACACCATTTATTAATTTGCTCTTTACCTCACTGATATAAAAGGACACATTTAGCCTAAATTACCTTAAATAGCCGATTATTTTTGGCCTTTTCAGAATCACACGGGACTAATTGCTATAAACTTTATGTTTTAACATCTGGAAGGGTTAGTCTCATCTTTCTCTCTTTTTTTTTTCCTTCCAGAGTTGTTTGGGTCTGTCTTGCTCATTTGGTATTTTTAATCACCTCGTCAGGTTTTATGAAAAATCTTTTTGTGATTTGGTTGGGAGTGCATTGCCTTTATGTTTAATTCTGGAGAATTAACATCTTAAATTTTGAGTCCTCTATTAAATTGTCTTAGTCACTTCGGTTCATTTTTAGGTATTTGAAAAGTTTTTTCTATTAAGAATGAAAACTATTTTTCCTGTTTGTCTTAATTACATAGCCAGAATCTCTATCACAGTGTTTAGAAATAGTTATAGCTTATATCATTGTGTCAACCTGTATAATCACCTGGGTAACTTTTAGAGAAACATTGATGCCCTGATTTAATCCCAGAATATTTACATCAGAATCTCTGGAGGAAGAGACCCCAACATCAGCATGTTTTTAATCTCTCCAGTCAACTTTAATGTGCAATAAAGGTTCAGAACCACTGCATTTTAAAAATGCTACTAAGTTTTACCAATGAGTCTGATGTTTGTGGTCTGTTTCTGATAAAACTGTTTTACCAAGTTAAGAATATTTTTTTTCCCCTGCATCTATTGAAGTAATCATTTTTTTTCCCCTGCTTTAGTTAATTTAAAGTTGGTAATTATGTTGATAAGATTTTTCTCATGAGAAACCATCTTTTAATTTGAGAGTTAAAACTTAGGTCTGTGATCCATTTTATGTCAATTTTTGTATATGGTATGAGGTATAGTCCAATATCATTTTCTTGTATATAAATGTGTGGCTGTCTGAACAGTATTTTTTTAAAGGATTGTTTTTCCCCATTGAATTGTCTTGGCACCCTTGTCAATAATCAATTGAGAGTTTAGTTCTGGACTCTCAGTTCTATTTCGTGGATCTGTATGTCTGTCCTTATATCATTACTATGCAGTTTTGATTAATGCCGCTTTTGGGTATGTTTTGAAATTAAAACATTTGAATTGTCCAACTTTATTCTTTTTTAAGGTTACTTTGGCTGCCCTGGGTCCCTTCTTGCATTTTCATTTAAACTTTAGGGTCAGTTTGTCAATTTCTGCCCAAAAAGGGCAACTGGGGTTTTGATAGAAATTGTATTGAATCTGTAGCTCAGTTTGGGAATTATTGTCATCTTAACATCTTAAGTCTCCTGATCCATGAACATGGGATGCCCTTCCATTTATTTTTAGCTACTTTAGTTTCTTACAAAAGGTGTTTTGTAGTTGTTAGAGTAACTGTGTCACACTTCTTTTGTTAACTTTACCAGTAGGGTTTTTTTTAATTTTGGCTGCCACTGTAAGTAGGATTATTTTCTTAGTTTCTTATTTGGATTGCTCATTGCTAGTATAGGAATATAGCTCATATTTGTATATTGATATTGTGTCCTGCCACATTGTTGAAGTAGTTCATTATCCTAACAGGCTTTTATTGGAGTGTTCAGAATTTTCAATATACAAGCATACCTTATTTTATTGAGCTTTGCAGACTCTGCATTTTTTACAGATTGGAGGTTTGTGGCAGCCTTGCATCAATCTAAATGCCCTGGCTAGATCCTACAGTTAAATAGAAGTAGTGAGAGTGGACATTCTTTTCTTTCTCCTGATTTTAGGGTGAAAGCATTCAGTATTTCATCATTAAATATGATTTTAGCTGTGTTAGCTATTTTTCAGAAATGCTCCTTATCAGATTGAGGAAGTTTTCTTTTTATTCCTAGTTCAGTTTTCATCATGAAAGAGTATTGGATTTTTTAAATGATTTTTTTTCTTCATTTTTAAAGATAATCATTTGGTTCTTTTATTCTATTCATATAGTGTATTACATTGCTTGGTTTTCAGATATTAAACCACCTTTGCATTCTTAGGATAAATCCCATTTGGCCATGGTTTGTAATCCTTTTGACATATTACTGGATTTGGTTTGCTAGTATTTTGTTTAAGACTTGTGTGTTTATAGAATACTTTTGTACTTCTCTGGTAGTTCAGATGGTAAGGGTCTGCCTGCAATGCAGAAGACCTCGGTTCGATTCCTGGGTTGGGAATATCCCCTGGAGAAGGAAATGGCAACCCACTGCAGTATTCTTGCCTGGAAAATCCCATGGAGGCAGGAGCCTGGCGGTCCATGGGATCACAAAGAGTCAGACAAAACCGAGCGACTAACGCTTTCCACACTTGTTGTGTTGATATTCCTAAGGGATATTTGTCTGCAGTTTTCTTTTAGTATCTTTGGCTGGTGCTGATATCAGGGTAACACTGGCCTTGTATAATGAGTTGGAAAGCATTCCCTTCTCTTCTCTTTTTTGGGAGGCATAGTTGAGGGATATCTAATGAAGTACTGATTCTTTCTAAATGTTTGGCAGAATTTGCTTGTGAAGACCAAGTGTTTCATTGTTGACAGTTTTAAAATTACTAATTCAGTTTTTTTGCTTGTTATAGGTCTATCTGATTTCTGTTTCCTAATGAGTCATTTCAGCAGTTTGTGTGTTTCTAGGAATTTGTCTGTTTCATATAAATGACTTATTAATTATTTTAGATATGTATTAAAAAGTATGTCTTTTCTTTTTCTCATAAGGTCAGCAGTGATTTTAGTAATTTTTACCTTTTTTTTCTTTTTCGTGGTCAGTTCAATTATTTTTTCCTTTTGGTTTTTCTCTATTGCTTTTCTTTATTTCATTTTATTTCTGCTGTAATGTTTATTATACACTCTTTTCCTTGCTTTTGGATTTAGTTTTTTTCTTTTTCTAATATTTTAAGGTGGAAGATTAGATTACTGATTTGAATTTTTTTTTTTCCTTTTAGCAGAGGCTTAATAGCTATAAATATTTGTCTAAGCATTGCTATAAGTTTGGGTATGTCATGTTTTCAGTTTTGTTTATCTCAAAGTATTTTTAAATTTTCCTTGTGATCTCTTTGACCCAATAGTTATTTAGTGGTATCCTTTTTGATTTTCTCATATATATGAATTTCCCTAATTTTCTTCAGTTTTTGATTTCTGGTTTAATTCCATTGGGATAAGATGACATACCTTTTATTATTTCAAATTTTAAAAATGTTTGTTGAGTCTTGTTTCTTATTTTAATGACCTAGCATTTGTCTCTCCTAGAGATTCTTCCATGTGCATGTGAGAAGAATGTGTATTCTGCTGTTGTTGGGTAGGATATTCTATAGCTGTCTGTTAGGAATAGTTTGTTCTTAGTTGTTCAGTCTTCTGTTGCTCTGTGGTCTTCCACCTACTTGTCTATCCATTATTGAAAGTAGGGTATTGAAGTCTTCAAGTAATATTGTCAAGTTTTCCAGTTAATTTTTTTAGTTTTTGCTTCATGTATTTTGGAGCTGTGTTGTTCAGTTCATTTCTGTAGTCATGGATATCTTCCTGAGGCATAGAATTTGCTAATAACATGTTCTTTTTTTCTCACAGTAATTTCTGGCTTATAGTTTTATGATAGCCCCTCTGACTCTCTCTGTCTCTGTCTTTTTTAACTGCTTGCATGGCATTGGTATATTTTTCTGTCATTTTACTTGCAACTTATTTATGTCTTTGAATCTACAATTTGACCCTTATAGACAGAATATAGCTGAATCATTGTTTTTAGTCCATTTTTTATAGTCTCTTGCCTTTTGACTAGAGGTTTCAAAAAATTTACATTTCATTTAATTACTACTGCGGTAGAATTTACATCTGCCATTTTGATATTTGTTGTCTGAATCTTTTGTCCTTTTTTGTTACTCTGATCCTTGATTTTTGCCTTTTAAATTAAATAGATATTTTCTAGTATACTTTTTTAATTCTCTGTTTCCTTTACTGTATATTATTTTAGTTCTTTTCTTAATTGTTGCCCTGGGGATTAGAAATATCATCTTAGTTTAAAACAGATTAATAATAATTTAATAATTCAGATTAATAGTAATTTAATAATATACAAAAACTTTGCTCAGATATACCTCTATTCCTCAGCTCCCTTATTTATACTACTGTTGTCAGACAAATTACATGTTTTTATGTTATAAGCCCATCAGTACAGTTTTGTAATTATTGCTTTATGCAATTGTCTTCTAAAACATGGGAGAAGAAACAAGTTGCAAATTAAAAAATACATTTGTCTTCTCTTGCAAGATTACTGTTAACTGATGCTCTTTATTTCTTTATGTGGATTTAAATTACTATTTAGTGTCATTTCATTTCATTTGTAGGAAATACTTTTGTTTATGCGGAAGTGTCTGATTGTTCCTTTATATTTAAAGGAGACTTTAGTTGAATTTAGAATTCTTGATTGAGTCTTCTTCTATTTTAAATGTATTATCCCATTGTCTTTTGACCTCCCTGATTTTTGTTGTGAAGTCAGCATTTAATCTTACTCAAGATCTCTTGTACATAAGTCCTTTTTATCTTGCTATACAATTTTCAAGATTTCTCTTTGATATTCATTGATTTGACTATGATGTCTTTAGATATGGTTCTATTTGAGTTTATTCTACTTGGAGTTTCCTGGACTTCTTGAATGTGTAGATAATATTTTTTGTCAAATTTGGGGAGTTTCCATCTATTATTTCTTCAAGTATTTTTTATATTTCTTTTTCTCCCTCTTTTCTCTTTGGGACTTTATTTATAATTAATTTGGTAGACTTGATGTTTTCATAGGTCTCTAAGATTCCTTTTTCTTGATTTTCTTTTTTCCACCTGTTTTTCAGAGTATATAATCTCTATTGATCTATTTTCAAGCTTACTGTTATTGCAGCCCAAAACTGTGGTTGAGCCCTTGTAAAGTGGATGTTTTATTTCAGTTATAATGTTTTTTTAATTCCAGAGTTTCTGTTTGGGTCTTTATTATAACTTCTATCTCTTTATTAATATTCTCTACTTGATGAGTAATCATTATTGTACTTTGATTCTTTAGACGTGATTTCCTTCTTTGACCATATTTGTAGTAGCTGGTCAAAGTTTTTGTCTGTAAAGTCAAACATCTGAGTCCCCTTCAGGAACATTTTCTGTTGGTGGTTTTTCTCCTATCTGTATGGCATATTTTTCTCTTTCTTTGAATATCTTACTAATTGTTTATTGAATACTGGACCTTTAATAATAAAATGACATTCAATATCAGTTCAGTCGCTTAGTCGTGTCCAACTCTTTGCAAGCCCGTGGACTGCAGCACGCCAGGCCTCCCTGTCTATCACCAACTCCTGGAGTTTACTCAAACTCGTATCCATTGAGTCAGTGATGCCATCCAACTATCTCATCCTCTGTCGTCCCCTTCTCCAAAATGACATTGGTATCTGATTAATTCACCCTCTCCTCTCAAAGTTTGTTGTTCCTGATATTATTATAGTTACTTATCCTATTGCATGACTTCCTTGTATTGATTCATGTCCTGTAATGTATGTCCATTGAATTCTTGAAGCTGAGCTCTGACTCTGATAGTTACCACGTTGAGAATAAAGATTTTTTCTCAGGGAACTGCCAAGTTTGGACAAAATATTGACTGTGATCTGCACATGTTGCTTTTAACAGAGCCTCAGAAAAAATCAGATCTCTTCAGTGTCTGCAAAGCTGCTGACTTCTGGCTAATTTCAATTGAGCTTAGGCAGGAAGTGGAATGGAACTAACCCCAAGTTAAAACATCAAGACTCTGCTGTCTTACTGAGATTTGGTAGCTTCTTGGCTAGATGATTTTCAGTTCCTTTTGTGGTTTTGGTTAATATCAGACTTCTGAAAGTTTTTAGTTGTGTTTCCCATATTTTTGTTGTTTTAGGAGTGCTAGCTTGCCAACAGCCTCTGTCTACCATTCTGGAAGTTGATCTCCCTATTCATAATTTTTCATATAATGCACTGCTGAGTTTGATTTTAGGGTATTTAGGATTTTTGTAAATATAAGTGATATTTTTGAATTAGGTAGCATCCAGTCATTTTCTATACTTGGAAATAGTTTGTAGAAGATGTTTCTATGATGGTTAGGTAGTTCTTAGGTCTGCTATGGAGAAATGATTCCCCATTATTTTGTGCCTTTTTTCCTCTAAGGATTCTACCTGGTTTAATTTTACTGGTCCTTTTACCAAATGCAGCAGTTTCCCTGCCTCTGCCTTAATGCAACCATATGCATGTATTATTTTAACTTTGTTAGTATTATATGTATGATAATACTTGGCAAAGTTTTGGCCAAGAATTTTGTCCTTGTTCACTGTTTTATCCCCAGTGCCTGGGATGGTACTGTAACATAATGTGTTCCAACTAAGTTCTTCTTGAATGAATGAGCAACATTATCTAATCTCTTTAAATCCCCCTGTGTACTTCTCACTTATTTTTATCACCAGTAGAGTCTGCCACTTCTTACTGTGCTTTTATTTCCTTCCTGAACTGTATACTAAGAACTCAATATTGTTTTAATGAATCTATGGGGCTTTCTAGATGGCCCAGTGGTAAAGAATCCACCTGCCAGTGCAGGAGATGTCAGAGACATGGGTTTGATCCCTGGGTTAGGAAGATCCCCTGGAATAGGAAATGGCAACCCACTCCAGTGTTCTTGCCTAGAAAATCCCATGGACAGAGGAGCCCCGCAGGCTACAGTCCACGGGGTCACAAAGAGTTGGACACAACTGAGTGACTGAGCATCGTCATTTTAGAACTTTCTACAAATAAATGTTTATTGAACTGAATCTGATTTTAGCACTAATTCTTTTCACTAATGTCAGTATTATTGTAACCATTAAGTAATACATTTTTACATACCTTTTGTTCTTACACACTTTGTTTTTAGGCCATGGACACAGTCATTCTCTCTTTAATGGTGCTCTGGATCAGACGCATGGCCATGCAGATCACTGCCATAGTCATGAATTGAAACATGGTGCTGCACATAGCCATGATCATGCTCATGGACATGGACACTTTCACTCTCATGGTGAGTACAGCCAAAATACTTTCAAATGGACAGTTTCTTAAACAGAAAGGGCATAGATTAATTTTTCAAGTTGAAATAATCTGTTAAAAATATTGTAGTCAAGTTCCTTTCTAATAAATTGGACTAAATGGTTTCTAAGACTAGTTTATTTTCAGTATAAAATGAAATTAACTCGGCATAAGGCAGTGAATGTAGCTTTTTTCAGTGAGTTTATCATAATAAAATGCCACTATTTTAAATGAGTGTCAGTGAATGGGGAGCTATTGCATTTCAGCAGTTTTTTTTTAATTATGATAAGGCCTTTTGTGCCATATATAGGCTTATAAAAATAAAATAGTTTTCAATTTTCCACATTTTTATTGTAATTTTAACGTATCACCTGATATTTATCTCCAGTTCCCTTAGAAGTCTTTATATGTTAACTTATATAGTATTGGATACTAAGTTATAAGGTATTTATCAACTTAACATTTTATTTTAAAATTATGTTTAGTTTATTCACAAAATTTTGGAATATTATTAATCTAATAGAAGCTGCTTGGGTGATACAGTTTGATTAATCTTTAAATAAGTTATATGCTTAAAGATTGTCTGTACTTGCCAGAAAGACAGAATCCTAAAGCTTTCAATCTGAAAAGATGAAGTGGGCTTTAGGGATTGAGTACTAAGCCCCTAATATTTTCAGTCTCTAATATTTGCTATACTTTTGTAGCTATTTATTACACTGGTCTGCTTTAACACCTTGCTTTTCTAAGCTTTTTGCTCACATGCATCACAAAATAATTTTGATAAAAACTGTATATTCACATTCTTAGGATGATTTATAAAAAATATTTATTGTTTAATTGTAGAGAATATAATGTGATACTTGATATTTTAGAATGAAACTTCTGTATTACTTTATTGAACATAGTCAGTGGACTCTAAATAACTTAGTGATTTGAGACCCACCATCACCTATTTAAAAATATTTAAACAGTTATTAATTTTATAACATCCTTTCTTCTTGAATTTTTATTTCTATTCCACTTCCTTTCTAGAATTTTATAAAGTGGAGTATGCTTGTGTTAAGGCTTTAATTGGTCATCTGTTATATTTCTTGGCAATAAAAAAGGTATATTAATTAAAATCTTTTATCTTTTAGGAACTTAAGACAGCATTTAAACATTTCAGATGGAATTATTATAGCTTTTACTAGTATAAAGTCAATTAAAATAATTGTTTTGATTTTTTATATATATGTAATCATTAAAAAGCAGCATTGTATTTGAAATACATATCTTAATGAGATGATTGAAACTCTTTTTCTCAATTAGTTTATGGATAAATAACTTACTAGCATAAAACAGGTTTTGATATCAATCCTGTTCCTGTTTTCCATCTTTATAATGTAAGTTCTAAGAAACCTTAAATAGAAGGAATTCTGTTACAGCAGTTTCTGTCAATTCTTTGATTACCTTCAGAATTATATTCCAACAGCTACATAGATTTCATCAAATATTTTTTATGATCTATTAATTGGTAGTTTTATTAGCTAATCTCTTCTTTTTATTAGAAGCAAAGAATTAGAAACCGTGCTACTTACAAAAAGATTTGCCAGCCAATCTTTAGAGTCATTCCCATCAACACTTACCATTGACCCCTTGTTTGTTGTCCTAGAATCTTTCTAATACTCTGGGGAATACACTGTGATAAGCTTTCAGATAGTTGAAAAGTAGCCTTTCTATGGGAAAAGAAAAGATGTGGAAATGACTAAGACATAAGGAAATTATAGTAACTAGTAAATAGAAATGCCAGGCCTCAAACAGGGAATCTGATTTCAAAATCTGCTGTTAACTGTTATTCTTCCTTCAGTATTTTATAGGCCAGTCTGAGAATGCAAAAGTAACAGGGCCATTATTCCATTTTGCCTGTGAGAACCATTATAGTCCCACTGTGTAGTACTGTGAACTTTGTATTTATTGGAATGCTGCACTGTGAGTGAAGTGTCACAGGTTTTTTGTTTAAGTGCTCCTATCTTAGTGACTTAAACAGCAAAAGTTTGTATCTTGGATTGATTGGGTAGAGGGTAGGGGCTTTGTTCCTCATGGCCATTCAGGAATCCAGGCTCTTCCCATCTTTAGGATTCTTAACCCTTGGATTCCACCAGTGGATTATCTGCATCTAGCTGGAGATAGAGTATATAGAAGATCATGTAGGATATTCTTATGAACTGAGCCTGGAAATAATTTACATCTTGTATTTTCTTTGTTGACGACTCAGTCACATACACCACCTAACTCAAGTGATCCCTAACTCAGGGAGCCTGGGAAATCTAGTTAAGTTGTTTATCAGAGAGGAAGAAGAAATGGGTCTAGTAAGGAGGTAGCCAATATCTGCCACAGAAAACAAATTTTATATCCAAAAGGATTGTCAGATTTTACATAGGTGGGAGTTATTTAATTGTACCAGTGTTTTCTTAGGTCAGACTCCCAGGGCAATAGAAATAAAGACAAAAATAAACAAATGGGACCTAATCAAACTTACAAGCTTTTGCACAGCAAAGGAGACCATAAACAAACTGAAAAGACAACCTACTGACTGGAAGAAAATATTTGAAAATGATGCTACCAAAAAGGGCTCAATTTCCAAAATACAGCTCATACAACTTAATAACATAGAAACAAACAACCCAATCAAAAAATGGGCAAAAGGTCTAAATAGACATTTCTCCAAAGAAGATATACAGATGGCTAATAAGCACATGAAAAGATGCTTAACATCTCTAATTATTAGAGAAATGCAAGTCAAAACTACAACGAGGTACCACCTAACACCAGTGAGAATGATCATCATGAAAAAGTATACAAATAACAAATGATAAAGAGGATGTGGAGAAAAGGGAACCCTCCTACATTGCTGGCAGGAATGTGAATTGGTGCAGCCACTATGGAAAACAGTATGGAGGTTCCTCGAAAAACTAAAAATAGAGTTGCCATATGATCTAGCAATCCCACTCCTGGGCATATATCTGGAGAATGTTGTTGTTCTGTCCCTCAGTTGTGTCCGACTCTGACCCCATGGACTGCAGCATGCTAGGCCTCCCTGTCCCTTACCATCTCCCAGAGTATAACTAATTCAAAAAGATGCACCCCAGTGTTCACAGCAGCAGAATTTACAATAGCCAAGACATGCAAGCAACCTAAATGTCTGTCAGTAGATGAATAGATAAAAAAGATATGGTATATATGCACAATGGAATACTATTCAGCCATAAGAAAGAATGAAATAATGCCATTTGCTGCAACATGAATGGATTTAGGGATTGTCATAATTAAATCAGAAAGAGGACGATGAATACAATATGATATTTATCACTTGTATGACAAATCTAAAATATGGGATTAGCAGATACAAACTACTATATATAAAATAAATAAGGTCCTACTGTATGGCACAGGAATATCTTATAATAAACCATAATAGAAAAGAAAAAAAATGACTGTCTTTATCTGGACTAACTATATATAGACAAATCTCATGCCCTGAACAGGAGACTGATTTTTAGAACAGTTACACTTTCAGCTCTCAGGATTTTTAAGATGACTACATCTTTCTCCCCATGCAGCAGTACCATATTTAGACCAAAATCATTGCATAACGTTATGCTTTTATAATTCTTCTGGCATTGTCACATTGTTCCATCAAAGCTATAATAAACAAGGGTAGGTCCACTCTTTGTTACTGTGGGCCAAGAACTAGGACTCTGGTAGTCATAATCAAAAAGCACATCAGTCGTCCTGATGCTCCCTTACGACAAATACTGCTGATCATTTACATTGTTACCTGTATTTTTGCTTTGACATTAATGTTGATTAGTGATCTTCCAACTATTTAGTATAAAAATTGCAGTATATTTGTTATTTCTTCATCAAAAAGGCAAAATGAAAAAGTATTTTCATCTCTTCTGTATAAAAATCTTGCTGTATTCATCTAGAAGCTATTGGGAAACTGTTTGGCATAGTCCAGTTTTCCTGGAAAATGTCCTGGTTTCATTTCTTGGTCTTCTTATAATATCAAAGGGTAGTTTTGTTTTTTCTGAATTTTCCAACTGTAAAATTGATGTAGCAAACTCTGTAAAGTATGCTATGGATATTAGAAAATTCATAATGTTTTTAATTTACTGGGTTTTTTTAACCAAATTGCCTAATATAATAATTTCCTAAATACTCTGTACTATTGATGCATTTTGAAATTTCCTATGTCTATCTTCATTTAATTACCATATTAAATTTTGAAAATAATTTTGTAGGTCTGATGTGGCTATGTAATCATGCATCCTTCATGATACATTTGAATGAAAAGTACTCTGAATTGCAAAAATTGAATCAGGAATTGAAGACATGTTTTAAAATAATTTAACTTAACTCTCTACAGATGGCCCCTCCTTAAAAGAAACAACAGGACCCAGTAGACAGATTTTACAAGGTATGGCAAGCTATTTGTATATTTCTCAGTTTTATGCAACTGGCTTCATAGTTTTGAGCTAGCTGTAGTTTTCCTTTAAGAAAAATGTATAACATAGTATTTGTGTTTAAAATGTTAGCCTTCCTAGTTGATTTTTTAACATGTACTACTAGGTATGTTAGCAGATGTTCTTTTAACTGTCACTGAGCTATTTTCTTAACATTTAATAAGAAGACTAAAATATTCAGAAACTAGACTGCTTAAATATATATACTCGTGCCATTGACTCTAGTAACACCATGATAGTATGTTTGCCTTTGTAGAATTGTTAAATAATTTTTCTAAAAATAATATTCAGTATGAATTTATGTTGTAGGGAAATTGAGTGCTAAAAATGTAATGCATCCAAATTCAAAAAATGTGTAACACCAAGAGTGAATCCAAATATGAACTATGAACTTTGGGTCATAATGATATGTCATTTGTAACAAATGCACTATTCTGGTGGGGGATGTTGATAATGAGAGGGACTGTGCCTGAGTTGGAACAGTGGATATAAGTGAAATCTCTGTTATCTGCCACTTATTTTGCTGTGAACCTAAAACTGCTCTCAAAAGTAATGTCATATTTTCAAAAAATATGATGCAAAGAGAGATCTTTTGCATATACGTAAGCATCAAATGGTTAAAAGTAAATAGGAGCTTACAGGTTATGTAAAGTGATACATTACAAAATTTTACAATCTAGAGAAAATCTGTCTTGTCCATGAACAATGGCAGTTTCTTTTTTGGACTGTGAACTGATCTTTGGCTCTGGATTTCTATATAGGTTTCATTGTCAAAGTTCCTAATTTCCAGCTGCCCATCTTCCTGCCTTTATTAATTTTTAAAAATATTTATTTATTTATTTTTGGCTGCATCGGGTCTTAGTTGTGGCATGCAGGGTCTTTCCTTGCGGCACTCGGGCTCTCTAGTTGAGGCGTGTGGTGGGAACTTAGTTCCAGACCAGGGATCAAGCCCACATCCTCTGCACTGAAAGGCAGTTTCTTAACCACTGGACCACCAGGCAGGTCCTCTTTGTTAACTTTTGACCACAACTGGACTTTCTCACTGGCTTGTGATCCTATTTCTACTGTGCTTATTTTTATTTTCTCCACTATTTTTTGATATAGCTCTTGCTTTTTATCTTTTCCCTGGGACTATATTCCTTCATCCTGAAGAGTTCATTTTAGGAGGCTTAAATGTGCCTTCTAGTCTCCAGTTTTCCTTTTGTGAAATATAAAGAATTGTTTTAGGGCAGCATTTGTTGAAATAACTTATAATCATGCATATGTAATACTATACATTTAGCCTTGATAATAAGAGTTAAGTTTTAGTTACGAAAATCATCACAAACTGAGGAAAAGAGAGGTCAGATTTGCCTTCCTAATTATCTTTTATATAAGCTGTTGTAAAAATGAACTAATATTTTCTTTTTTTTTTAATAACATTAGAGTGGATTTTTTATTTTTATTTATTTTTATTTTATTTTATTTTTTATTTTTATTTATTTTTATTAATGCATTCGTCTGTTGATGGGCATCTAGGTTGCTTCCATGTCCTGGCTATTATAAACAGTGCTGCGATGAACATTGGGGAGCACGTGTCTCTTTCAGATCTGGTTTCCTCAGTGTGTATGCCCAGGAGTGGGATTGCTGGGTCATATGGCAGTTCTCTTTCCAGTTTTTCAAGGAATCTCCACACTGTTTTCCATAGCGGCTGTACTATGAACTAATATTTTCTGATTGTCCATTAATGGTGGCTGAAGCAGCCCATAGGATAACTGCCAGATACGAACACTTTTCCACATAGATACTCACAGTTGAAAACCAAGTTTACTGAATTTTTCAGTTATTTGCTGCATTTTCAGTATGACTTCTGGCTTTTATATGAGTTAAACATATTAGTTTGGATTTCTTTCTTTAGTAACTTTCTTCTTGAAAACGTTACTGGAAAGAAAGAAGGACATATTTAGTTAAGAACATTTGCTAGTAAAACTGGTTTTTAGGTCAGCAAATAAGATGTAGCCAGGGACTTGCCAATTAAAGGAAAATCAAGAGCAAAGGATTCTTTTCTTTCTCCTTTCAGTGGTTAGAGCTGTTTTCGATTCGGATCTTACCAGAACATTGATTAAAGAATATATAAAGATTTAACGTCTTTATCATATCACTTCAGAGTTTTGCAGGTTAGGGATCCTCATCCACTTCCATGTGTATTCCTTAAGTTTTATTTTTAAAATTTAAAGTGACCCCAAGACTTGTTAATGTATTTAATTGTTCACTAGTTAAAATTTTCTTAAATAATGTATACTAAAATGAATTTTTTGACTTTTTAAATTGTTTTCCTGTCAAATACCAATTATTAAATGTTCATACATATAGGTTCGTGGGCAGTTAGACTATTAGTAATTTACCATTGTAATATTTTTGGAGAAGGGAATGGCAACCCGCCTCAGTATTCTTGCCTGGAGAATCCCACAGACAGAGGAGCCTGGTGGGCTACAGTCTATAGGGTCGCAAAGTGTCAGACATGACTGAGCAATCATCACTTTCACTTTCAATGTAATAGTTAATTATTAAAAGTTAAAAATAGTCCCCTCCCCGGCCCCGACGGGCGGGCGGGCTGCCCTGAGGAGGCGGGGAGGGGAGGGCTGGGTCGGCCGGCGGGCAGACAACGATGCCGAACTTCTGCGCGGCCCCCAACTGCACGCGGAAGAGCACGCAGTCGGACCTGGCCTTCTTCAGGTTCCCGCGGGATCCGGCCAGATGCCAGAAGTGGGTGGAGAACTGTAGGAGGGCAGACTTAGAAGATAAAACACCTGATCAGCTAAACAAACATTATCGACTGTGCGCCAAACACTTTGAGACCTCTATGATCTGCAGAACTAGTCCTTACCGGACAGTTCTCCGAGATAATGCCATACCAACAATATTCGATCTTACCAGTCATTTGAATAATCCACATAGTAGACACAGAAAACGAATAAAAGAATTGAGTGAAGATGAAATCAGGACACTGAAACAGAAAAAAATTGATGAAACTTCTGAACAGGAACCAAAACATAAAGAAGTAAACAACAGCAATGCTCAGAATCCCAGTGCAGAAGAAGGGGGTGAAGAGCAGGATGAGGACATTTTACCTTTAACTCTTGAAGAGAAGGAAAACAAAGAATATTTAAAATCTTTATTTGAAATTTTGATTCTTATGGGAAAGCAAAACATACCTCTGGATGGACATGAAGCTGATGAAATCCCAGAAGGTCTTTTTACTCCTGATAACTTTCAAGCACTGCTGGAGTGCCGGATCAACTCTGGTGAAGAGGTTCTGAGAAAGCGCTTTGAGACAACAGCAGTGAACACACTGTTCTGTTCCAAGACGCAGCAGAAACAGATGCTAGAGATCTGCGAGAGCTGCATTCGGGAAGAGACCCTCAGGGAGGTGAGAGACTCTCACTTCTTTTCCATCATCACTGATGATGTGGTGGACATTGCGGGGGAAGAGCACCTGCCTGTGTTGGTGAGGTTTGTCGATGAAGCTCACAACCTGAGAGAGGAATTTGTAGGCTTCCTGCCTTATGAAGCTGATGCAGAAATTTTGGCTGTGAAATTTCACACTACAATAACTGAGAAATGGGGATTAAACATGGAGTACTGTCGTGGCCAGGCTTACATTGTGTCTAGTGGATTTTCATCCAAAATGAAAGTTGTTGCTTCTAGACTTTTAGAGAAATATCCCCAAGCTATCTACACACTCTGCTCTTCCTGTGCCTTAAATATGTGGTTGGCAAAATCAGTGCCTGTTATGGGAGTATCTGTCGCATTAGGAACAATTGAGGAAGTTTGTTCTTTTTTTCATCGATCACCACAACTGCTTTTAGAGCTTGAAAATGTAATTTCTGTCCTCTTTCAGAACAATGAAGAAAGGGGCAAAGAACTGAAGGAAATTTGCCATTCTCAGTGGACAGGCAGGCATGATGCTTTTGAAATCTTAGTGGACCTCCTACAAGCACTTGTTTTATGTTTAGATGGTATAAATAGTGATACAAATGTTAGATGGAATAACTACATAGCTGGCCGAGCATTTGTCCTCTGTAGTGCGATAACAGATTTTGATTTCATCGTTACCATTGTTGTTCTTAAAAATGTTTTATCTTTTACAAGAGCCTTTGGGAAAAATCTTCAGGGGCAAACCTCTGATGTCTTTTTTGCAGCCAGTAGCTTGACTGCAGTGTTACATTCTCTAAATGAAGTGATGGAAAATATTGAAGTTTATCATGAATTTTGGTTTGAGGAAGCCACAAATTTGGCAACCAAACTTGATATTCAGATGAAACTCCCAGGGAAATTTCGCAGAGCTCAGCACAGTAACCTGGAATCTCAGCTAACCTCTGAGAGTTACTATAAAGAAACTCTAAGTGTTCCAACTGTGGAACACATTATTCAGGAACTGAAAGATATATTCTCAGAACAGCACCTCAAAGCTCTTAAGTGCTTATCCCTGGTACCCTCTATCATGGGACAGCTCAAATTCAATACGTCAGAGGAGCACCATGCTGACATGTACCGAAGTGACTTACCTAATCCTGACACACTCTCTGCTGAGCTGCATTGTTGGAGAATCAAATGGAAACACAGAGGGAAAGATATAGAACTTCCATAATACCACTGAAATTCAAATTTATCCAGTGCACAGAACAGAGCATTTAACTAAATAATCAAAAGCTCAAAATAGATAAAATGTTATCTGTAGAATTTTGATTTCATCGTTACCATTGTTGTTCTTAAAAATGTTTTATCTTTTACAAGAGCCTTTGGGAAAAATCTTCAGGGGCAAACCTCTGGTGTCTTTTTTGCAGCCAGTAGCTTGACTGCAGTGTTACATTCTCTAAATGAAGTGATGGAAAATATTGAAGTTTATCATGAATTTTGGTTTGAGGAAGCCACAAATTTGGCAACCAAACTTGATATTCAGATGAAACTCCCAGGGAAATTTCACAGAGCTCAGCACAGTAACCTGGAATCTCAGCTAACCTCTGAGAGTTACTATAGAGAAACTCTAAGTGTTCCAACTGTGGAACACATTATTCAGGAACTGAAAGATATATTCTCAGAACAGCACCTTAAAGCTCTTAAGTGCTTATCCCTGGTACCCTCTGTCATGGGACAGCTCAAATTCAATACGTCAGAGGAGCACCATGCTGACACGTACCGAAGTGACTTACCTAATCCTGACACTCTCTGCTGAGCTGCATTGTTGGAGAATCAAATGGAAACACAGAGGGAAAGATATAGAACTTCCACTATTTATGAAACCCTTCATCTACCAGACATCAAGTTTTTTCCTAATGTTTATGCATTGCTGAAGGTCCTATGTATTCTTCCTGTGATGAAAGTTGAGAATGAACGCTATGAAAATGGGCGAAAGCGTCTCAAAGCATACTTGAGGAACACTTTGACAGATCAAAGGTCAAGTAACTTGGCTTTGCTTAACATAAATTTTGATATAAAACACGATTTGGATTTAATGGTGGATACATATATCAAACTCTATACAAGTAAGTCAGAGCTTCCTACAGATAATTCAGAAACCATTGAAAATACCTAAGAGACTTTTTATATTTGATATTTGAAAAAAAAAAACTTCTAAGAAATTTAAAAATATCTTACAGAAAAGTTGTAAGGGTAGGCCACTTAATCACTGAATATCTTGACCTGTAGGCCTCCCATTGAGTACATTAGTCATTGATAATCTGCCTGTTTAAATGGCCTGTTCGAATGCCCATGCTTTGGAGACCTAACTGTTCTTCCAGAAGATAGCACTGAAAGTACCATATTACAGTTTTATGTGATGTCTGCTAATGGCACTTTGGAACTGTTTTAGTTAAGTGATTTTAGACATTACGTTTATCACTGTGGATCAAATTGTCAGGTATTAAGTTATCGGATCTTTGAAAAAATAAAATTAGAGGAGGTATGGGAGGAAGGAATGCATTTTGTAAAATGTTACAGTGAAGCTCATGACTGACTTTTGAATAGTAGGAGTTATAAGTATGCTATTAAAAATCTGTAAAGGACAGTTAAGAAAATTATCAGACTACAAGAGAAACATGTAAGCTTGTCAAACAAGGATTTCAGTGTAGATTTTCTCTTTATCAAATGAAGTTAAAGCAACAAGTTAAAATTTGAATGGAAGAGCCTGCCATTGTTGTTCCACATCTGGTTATTGCTGTTTACATTCCTTTATTGAGCCTACGTCTTCGTAAGCTTTTTGGCAGGTATATGTTGAACACTTCAGTTTCATGGTCAAGAAAGGATCAGAGGCCATGGATACTGACAACTGATTTGTCTGTTTTCTTCTGTCTTTTTCCATGACTGTATCTACTGCCTTGTCTTGATTTACAAGCAAAGCCTAGAAAGCCTACAAAAATAAGTGTTTTGTAGTTTATCTAGGAATAATACAGAAAATATTGCTGTTATTTTTGGTGAAGAAAATCAATTTTGTATAGTTTATTTCAACCTAAATAAAATGTGAATTTTGTGTAAAAAAAAAAAAAAAAAAAAAAGTTAAAAATATATTTATATCCTCTTTAAAATATTCAGACTGTTACTTTCTTTCATATCAGGTTTGAGTTTAGTATGTAACTTTAGTTAACAATACCTTCAGGATAATTAGTTTACCAGCTTATTAGTAGAGTTATGGTCCATAGGAAAATCTTCGTCTCAAAAGGTAATAATTTTAATTACCAGCAGAGGGCTCTGTGTGTACATATATTTGTAGTTATAAACAGTGTTTTCTTGACTGATTCATTCAGCCTAATGCAGTTTTCTCCTAACAAATTACTAGTTAACTTCTGGACTCAACCAGAAATGAATGTGCACAAAAAATTTTTTTAAATCAAGTATTTCTTCACTTCTTCATTTATATTATAGCAAAATATTAAGGATCATGAAGAGTAAGTGTAACTTACAAGTCAAATATTTTAACTCCTCCTGTTTTTTAAAAAGAAAGATTATTTTAATTCCCAGAGGTACTATTACTTCTTTACTAAACAGTGAATCAGCATTCGTACTGATTTACAAATTCATATTTAGTTTTTTAATATATAAAACCAAGAATATAGTTTTAAGAAAAATTTACATTTTTAGTTGAACAGAAAATGTGATTTTGATTCTCATTATGCTTTATTTCTAGGTGTATTTTTACACATTCTAGCAGATACACTTGGGAGTATTGGTGTAATTGCCTCTGCCATCATGATGCAAAATTTTGGTCTGATGATAGCAGATCCTATTTGTTCAATCCTGATAGCCATGCTCATAGTTATAAGGTAAGTGTTGGTATGTTACTTTCAGATATTAAAATGAAAGGTGATAAGTATCTTACTTAAACTACAGATCGAAATTATTATTATGTTGGGGGTTTTTTGGTCTTCAGCAGATTTCTACATAGATTGTTTCTCTTTTCATCTTACATTTTTTTGTGTTACCTCAGGTTTGATATTTTTTTTTTGTATTTAGTGATTGATCTTCTGTAAATCAAATCAGTAGTAATTTTCTTTAATCCAGCACTATATTTGTAGAGTACATTAAAAATATAAAATGTATTAATGTTAGAATATTATTCCTTTGACATCTGCATTTTGTACTATCAAGTGTAAAAGAAGAGATTTCTCTTCTAGAACTAGCTTTAATTTATAAATTCACATTATTGTTGTAGAAGTCTTGTAAAAATGCTTACTGAAGTATATTTATGTCCTTTCTCTATCGAGATTATAAATTCTTGAGGAAGGATCTGTCTTTTAGCTCTTTGGCTCTCTATTGCCTGTCATGGTACCAATTCTTATGTAAAAGTGTGATTGTGTATAAATTCTCCATAAGTGTTGTCTGAACTAGAGGATAGTTACTGTCTTTTAAATTTATGTCAATTTATTATTTTAATTTTTATCAGAAAAATGAAACAGTTGTGCCTTTATTTCCCAGTCTTGACTTATTTATATAGATATGTCTTGATTGAACTGATTTTGTCTAGATTATCCATATGATTTTACTGTTAGCAAAGCTGTCTTTGTAATGATAACAAGACCTGTTAACTGGTAGACTATGATGGTTTTTATAGCTTGTAGTTGAATAGAATAGACTTAAAAAATTACAATGAAATTATAATCTTATAACTTAGATTAAGTTTTTTCATAAAAGATAGGATATACATTTTAAACATGCAGCTTATTTTTAAATTTTATTTAAATTATTTGTACTAGGAAGCATCTCTGCTGTGTAAAAATCTTATATAAAATTTGAATCTCTTTTCTTCATGTTTGGCAATTTTACTATACTTCCTTGAAAGTTCTTCAGCTTAGATATCACATATTCTATGAAACTTAACTTCTGATAGATTTGGTTTCTTATATCTATTCTTCTTTATTTGCATGTTCAGTGTTCATTTTATTTTGTGTTATAATTCTTGGTTGCTTCTAATACTTCTTAGAGTTGGATCTTAATCTTAACTTTTCTTTGTCTCCAATTTTATATCCTAATTCTATCATTTGTTGCTTGGAAGAGGTTGGCCTATCTGTCTCCTTCTAATTTATTTTCTACACTGTGTCCAAAGTGATCTTTCTTTAATAAAGATTAAGGTACATGGAAAAATTATCTTGCTTTGGATCTTTCCTTGGCTTTCTTGCCCTCAGGATAAAGTCTGATTCCTTAGTAGGCCTTCATGTTGGGATTCATTTATCTGTTCAGTCTTTCTCTCACTCTGCCTCAATTTATATCTGTTCTCCAGCCATAGTAAGTAACTGTCAGTTTCCTGGAAGCATGTTATGAGCTCTCTGGATTCTGGGGCTTTCTCATCTTTCCTCTCTGCAAAATAAACTGCCTTTACATTGAGTGCTCTTCTCACTTTCCATTCACCCTCACAAATCCATAGATCTTTCAGTTTAAATGGCACTTCCTTGAAGAAGCCTTTCTTGATTCCCTGCATCTCAGGAGGGGTTAGGTAAAGCTGTAGCACCACCTGCTACTCCTCTTGCAGCATTTACTTAGAGCCTGTCTTATTTTCTCCATTAAGCTCCATGAGGGCAAACTGTTTTTTCATGGTTGTAAAGTCAGTACCTAACTGTGCCAGGTAAAACTTGATACATTTTTTTATTTGAATCAGAATAAATTTGTGTTGTTCTCAGTCTCAGAGAATGACTTTCTCTAATCCTAAATGGGTAATTCTTACTTAGTTCTAATCCCATTCAGTTGTTCCACCAGAAATATGAACAAATAAATAAATAAACACACACAAGACAAGAAAACCTTTTTTTGTTGTTGTTGAAATATAACACATTTTAAGCTATACAAATTATTTTCAGCAAATATTTATTAAGTAAGTACCTCTTACCAGGGTAGTGAAAGGACAAGATACTGTTTTGATCTTACATTATAGCAGAAGAGAGAGACACAAATTAATCAATAAACCAATATCAAGTAATTATTGTGCGAGAGTTAATATGGGATTGTAGAGACTGAGATACCACTTTTTTTTCTTTTTGTAAATTAATTAATTTGTTTTTTGGAGGCTAATTACTTTACAGTATTGTAGTGGTTTTTGCCATGCACTGACATGAATCAGTCATGGGTGTACATGTGTCCCCCATCCTGAACCCCCATTCTACCTCCCTCCCCATCCCATCCCTCAGGGTTGTCCCAGTGCACCAGCCCTGAGTGCCCTGTCTCATGCATTGAACCTAGATTGGCGATCTATTTCACATATGGTAATATACGTGTTTCAATGCTATCTCTCAAATCGTCCCACCCTCGCCTTCTCCCACAGAGTCCAAAAGTCTGTTCTTTACATCTGGGTCTCTTTTGCAATCTCGCATAAAGGGGTCATCGTTACCATCTTTCTAAATTCCATATATATTCGTTAATATACTGTATTGGTGTTTTTCTTTCTGACTTACTTCACTCTATATAATAGGCTCCAGTTTCATCCATCTCATTAGAACTGATTCAAAAGCATTCTTTTTAATAGCTGAGTAATATTCCATTGTGTATTTGTACTACAGCTTTCTTATCCATTCATCTGCTGATGGACATCTAGGTTGCTTCCATGTCCTAGCTGTTGTAAACAGTGAACATTGGGGTGCACTTATCTCTTTCAATTCTGGTTTCCTTGGGTGTATGCCCAGCAGTGGGATTGCTGGGTCGTATGGCAGTTCTATTTCCAATTTTTTAAGGAATCTCCACACTGTTCTCCATAGTGGCTGTACTAGTTTGCATGTCTACCAACAGTGTAAGAGGGTTCCCTTAAGTTTAATTAGGTCCCATTTGTTTATTTTTGCTTTTATTTCCATTACTCTGGGAGGTGGGTCATAGAGAATCCTGCTGTGGTTTATGTCAGAGAGTGTTTTGCCTATGGTTTCATCTAGGAGTTTTATAGTTTCTGGTCTTAATCTTTAATCCATTTTGAGTTTATTTTTGTGTATGGTGTTAGAAAGTACTCTAGTTTCATTCTTTTACAAGTGGTTGACCAGTTTTCCCGGCACCACTTGTTAAAGAGATTGTTTTTTCTCCATTGTATATTCTTGCCTCCTTTGTCAAAGATAAGGTGTCCATAGGTGCATGGATTTATCTCTGGGCTTTCTGTTTTGTTCCATTGATCTATATTTCTGTCTTTGTGCCAGTATCATATTGTCTTGATGACTGTAGCTTGGTATTATAGTCTGAAGCCAGGCAGTTTAATTCTTCCAGTTCCATTCTTCTTTTCAAGATTGCTTTGGCTATTTGAGGCTTTTTGTATTTCCATACAAATTGTGAAATTATTTGTTCTAGTTCTCTGAAAAATACTGTTGGTAGCTTGATAGGGATTGCATTGAATCTATAGATTGCTTTGGGTAGTATACTCATTTTCACTATATTGTTTCTTCTGATCTGTGAACATGGTATATATATATATATCTCCATCTATTTGTGTCCTCTTTGATTTCTCTCATCAGTGTTTTATAGTTTTCTATGTATAGGTCTTTTGTTTCTTTAGGTAGATTTATTCCTAAGTATTTTATTTTTTTCGTTGCAATGGTGAATGGAATTGTTTCCTTAATTTCTCTTTCTGTTTTCTCATTGTTAGTGTATAGGAATGTAAGGGATTTCTGTGTGTTAATTTTAAATCCTGAAACTTTACTGTATTCATTCATAGCTCTAGTAATTTTCTGGTGGTGTCTTTAGGGTTTTCTATGTAGAGGATCATGTCATCTGCAAACAGTGAGAGTTTTACTTCTTCTTTTCCAATCTGGATTCCTTTCATTCCTTTTTCTTCTCTGATTGCTGTGGCTAAAACTTTCAAAACTGTGTTGAATAGTAGTGGTGAGAGTGGGCATCCTTGTCTTGTTCCTGACTTTAGGGGAAATGCTTTCATTTTTTTCACCATTGAGGATAATGTTTCCTGTGGTTTTATCATATATGGCTTTTATTATGTTGAGGTATGTACCTTCTATGCCTGCTTTCTGGAGGGTTTTTATCATAAATGGATGTTGAATTTTGTCAAAGACTTTCTCTGCATCTATTGAGATAATCATATGATTTTTATCTTTAAATTTGTTAATGTAATATATCACATTGATTGATTTGTGAATATTGAAGAATTCTGGCATCCCTGGGATAAAGCCCACTTGGTTATGATGTATGATCTTTTTAATATGTTGTTGGAGTCTGTTTGCTAGAATTTTGTTGAGGATTTTTTTCATTTATGTTCATCAGTGATATTAGCCTGTAGTTTTCTTTTTTGCATCTTTATCTGGTTTTGATATTAGGGTGATGGTGGCCTCACAGAATGAGTTTGAGAATGAGTTTACTTTCCTCTGCAGTTTTCTGGAAGTGTTTGAGTAGGATAGGTGTTAGCTCTTCTCTAAATTTTGGGTAGAATTCACCTGTGAAGCCATCTGGTCCTAGGCTTTTGTTTGTTGGAGGATTTTTGATTACAGTTTCGATTTCTGTGCTTGTGATGGATCTGTGAAGATTTTCTATTCTTCCTGGTTCAGTTTTGGAAAGTTATACTTTTCTAAGAACTTGTCCATTTCTTCCAAGTTGTCCATTTTTGGGGCATATAGTTGCTGATAGTAGTCTCTTATGATCCTTTGTATTTCTGTGTTGTTTGTTGTGATTTCTCCATTTTCATTTCTAATTTTGTTGATTTGAGTCGTTCCCCCCCCCTTTTTTTTGATGAGTCTGGCTAATGGTTTTTTTACTTTATCTTCTCAAAGAACCAGCTTTTAGTTTTGTTGATTTTTGCTATAGTCTCCTTTGTTTCTTTTTCATTTATTTCTGCCCTAATTTTTATGATTTC